GTCATACGACACCCACATTCACACATGTATCGTGACCACCACGACACGCAGCTCACATTCACCACGACGCGAGCGGGCCTAATCTGCACATTCCACACTGGTGGTAGCAGATGGCTCACTGACATGCACTCAGGACACAGATATGCTCACGATAGCAGCTGTGCTCCTGACGATGTTCAGCGACCGGACGACGATGCACTGTCCCGATCCCGGCCACAGCGACACTCGTGACCAGCACACAGCGCCCTTCACACGACGGCCACTGGGTTGACACAGCCCGGTCGAAGTGTGCTCAGCCGCCTCCTCTTCACAGCCGGGCTCTCCGCCACCCCCGGGCAGCGGCTGCCTCCTGCGCGCCTGCGCAGCAAAGGCCGGGGGCGGGGCCAGCCTCCGTGGCGCCTCCGGCAGACCTGCCAGGAGGCCCGGACATTGTGGCTGGGAACAGGAGGACACGCTTTCCATTTGTCCGGTTCTTCCTATGAAAACCTGCCAGCCCTCTGCCTCTCTGCCCTCTGCCCTCTGCCCTCGGCCGAGAGCTTCCTGGGGTGGAAGGACAGGTGGGGCACCAGCCCCTGCAGTGGGACATCTCACCGCTTGGCCCCGCCTTCTGGCCCCCCAGGGCTGGCCCACCCCCTGCCCCACCCCCACTCGCATCCTCCCCTCGCAGCTACCCCTGCGTGGCCCTCGGAGCCTCGCTCAGGGTGTCACCGCCTAGTGGGCCTCGGAGCAGCCGTCCCCAGCGCTGCAAACCTTCTGCGCATGTGCCAGGGACGCTAGTCCGGGCCCATCTCCGGCCGGGGGTTTCTGGCCGCCGTCCAGATGTCGCAAAAAAAAGGGGAGGAAAAAGCTCTATTCAGGTGCTAAAAATACGATCAGGAAATACTTTTCAGCAGTGTGTGTTCCAGGGTCCCCTCTGGACTCAAGGGCGCCTCTGTCTCTGCCACAGAAAACCCACATTTATCAAAGCCGTTCTATCAAGCAGGCTCACGTTCCGTGGCCGGGAAACCCGAGCCTCCCCGGCGGGCTGTGACATTTTAATTTAGGGGCCAAGTGTGCGTGAGATTTAGACGGGGGAGCCCCAGGAGCCGCCCTCAGGATGCCCCGGGACTTGGGGCTCCGTGCGGGGTGCGGTGGGGAGAGCCCCCACACACACACCTGCACCTGGGGGGCTGGGCCTGGCCGAGGGTCCACGCAGGGCAGGGGTGGGGGCTCCAGGCCCGGCTGCTGGTGGTCGGGGCCGGCTGGCTGCACCCCACTCCACGACTGTCTCTTTCCCTCCCAGGAGCGGCTGGTGGGGCGCAGGTTCCCCTAGAGCCAGGCAATGCGGGCCCAGGTAGACCACCACCTCCTCCAGGGCGAGGCTGGGAGGTCACCGGATCCGAGGGGCAGGTAAGGCCCTGCTCCTGGGCAGGCGACCCCAGCCCACCCCACCTGTCATCGCCCTGTGGGGCTGGCCCACCGGGCAGGTGGGGGCTTTGCAGCTCCTCCTCATCACACAGAGCCCACACACGGGGGCGCCCATGACGGCCCTCTGCCATGGATCTGGGGGGGGGTGTGAGTGCTTCTGGCCTCTGGTCGTGGATAGGACTCACCATGGCCCTCTGGGGCCGGGGTGACCCCACTTTACAGATGAGGAAACTGAGGCCCAGAGCGCCTGTCCAGGATGCAGGGCTGGTGCAGGGCAGAGCGGGACCCACGTCCGAGGCCGGCATGTCTCAGACTGAGGCTGGGACCCGCCGGGGGCCCCGAGTTGGGAGGGTGGGTGCAGCCTTGCTGACCTCTGAGCTCTGGGCCAGGGGTGGTGGGAAGCGGTCACCGTGAGGCTCGCAGGGTCCTTCCCCTCCTGACCCTGGGGAGGGTGCCCGGCCGGAGTCGGCCCCTTGGGTCCCCGCAGGCCCCAGGCCCCCAGCTCTCTCCTCCTCTGCCTCACTGCACATCAGGGGCCGGCTCAGCCCCTCCCCACGCCCTCTAGCTGCCAGGACCCCTCACTGGGCAGTCGGGGGGGTGGGGGGCCGCCGAGGCCTGGGCGGGGGTCCTGGGGAGGGCTCCCCTCACCTGCAGACCAGGTGCCCAGCGGGAAGGTCCGTGGGGACGGAGGGAGGGCCGTCCACACCACAGCCTGGTTCTCAGCGACTGTTAGATTCTAAGACACAGAGGCCCACACGCTGCTGGAAGTGTTCAAGAAAATGCCGGTTTATTTCCATTAGAAACCCCTCCCCCTTGTCCGAAATAGATGCTTTTTTGTCAAATAAGTGAAAACACTGTCTCCTATGCTGATCGAACTGTTTGTGAAAATAGAAAAGCTCGGAGAGCCCAGGGCTTGCAGGGAGCCTCGAAGGAGGGTGGGGGCTGCCCGTGAGCAGGGCTGCGAGCCAGCGGAAGGGCGTGCCCTGCCCCCACATGCCGGGCTCTGCAGGGATTTGAAGAGGAGGGCATGGACACAGCAGCCTCGGGGGGCACACGGGGCTCCCCCACCGGGAATCTCTAGCTCCCAGGAATCTCTAGCTCTCTCTCTAGCGCCTTCCCGTGGCCCCCACCCTCAGGCCACTCTGCTGGGGTGTGGCATGGAGGCCCCCCCACGAGGAAACTGCAGGCTGGGGAGGGGGCAAGGGAAGGCCCTGTGTACTGAAGGCCAGGGGCCGGGAGCCACGTCCAGCCCCCTGGGGGTCTCCTTCCCGGCTGGCGGACGCTGTCCAGCAGTGGGGTGAGCCCGCCCGCCATCTTCTGTGGGGTTCACTGTTTGCCCCTAACAGGCACCTGTGCTGGCACCAGCTCCTCCTCTGTGACAGGTCACTGTGCTCCTCCCTCCGCCGGGGCTGGACTTCAGAATCCTTCTCAACACAGCTTCCAACAGAGTTAAGAGTGAAGCCCGTTTCCCACCTCTTTGTAGCCGCTGGTTTTGCGCCATCTAGGACGTATGGTAACTCCCTTACTAATTTAACGGGAAAACAAGGTCTCCCGGGACGGTCTATCCTCGGTCCTGGAGAGATTTGAAACAGCCAGGCAGATGGCTGTCACCTGGCTTACGGGGACTGGATGGGGTGGGCTCCCCAAGCTGGTGGCCCTTCCCGCCCGGGCCAGAGTCCTGGAGGCTGGGCAAGGGGCGCAGAGCAAACACGCAACAGGAGAGCCTGGGCAGGCCCACGATGGCCACTCGGTCTCCGTGGCAACCAGGGCCGGTTCCCACGGGGCTCCCCCGGTGCTCACAGGCTGGAGAGTAAGTGGGGGGCTCCCATGTGCCCTCCCCTGCCTCTCGTGGCCCGTGAGTCACGGGGACTTGCATCTGAGTCACTTCCAGCCACCTGCCACCGCGACGGGCCGCGGTTCCTGGACACGGAGGTTCCGCAGCCCCTGGGCGTGGGGCGGCGGCCGCTGGCCTCACAGGACACTGTGTTTCTGGCTCCAGCGGTGGAAATGTTTTCCACGTGTTTTCCCATGTTTACAGAGCCGAGGGCACGCATGCAGCTGGGGAGGCTGGCCAGCTCAGCACGTCTGCAGGGAAGCCGAGCGCCAGGATCGGGCGGGGCTGAAAGGAGGCCGGGACGCCCCGCGGTCCACAGCGGGGGGGTGGGGTGGGGCTGTCGCAGAGGAGTGAGCCCGGCAGGTCCGGCGCCAGCTGCAGGCCGAGGCCCCCGGGGGCGGGAGGAGTCCCGCAGTCCGAGGGGTCAGCGTGTGCCCGCCCCCCCCCCGGGGGCTCCAGGGTGCGGGCACACACCCTGCACCCTCTGCCAGCATCACGCCCACCCTATTGGCCCCTGATGGGCGCTTGGTGCGGAGCACGGGCTGGTGTTCCCAGCAGTGGCTCCCGGCGGGCCGCACAGGGCTCACTGCCCGGCCTGGCCGTCCTGTGCCTGTGGCTGCCGCCGCTGCTCTTCCCGGTCCAGCTGCTCCCGCAGGGCGGCCACCTGGGGACAGGGCAGGGGCTCAGTGGGGCGGGCGGGCCTGGCCTGGGCCCCGAGGCAAAGGGGTGCGGAGAGCTCCGTGGCAGGAAGGGCGGGAGGCCACAGCCCACGGTGCCTAGGGAGAGTCGCCAGGCAGAGGGACAGACGGACCAGCAGGCAGGGCGTGCAGTTCCTGCTTTTGCTGCCAACACCCGTCCTGGGGCCCTGGGCCCGGGGCCACCACACCCCACCGCAGACCGACCCCCTTCCATCCCGGCCACAAAAGCGCTCGGGATGCTGCGGAAATAAACGTCCCTCTGCTCGTAAGCTTAGCAGACGTGTTTTGATGTGTCGGGGACGCTAACACGGGAACGACGCTGGGCCGTGACTCCCCCTCTCTGTGCCTCGGTTTCCTCCTCTGCAAACGAGGGTTTGCCCAGAGAGCGCCCTGACCCTGACAGCTGCGAGCTCCAGGCTCGGCCGGGGCAAGCGTGCCGTGCCCGTGTTCCCCCCGTGTGTGCCGCTGCCCTGGCGACGGCTCTGAGTGACAACCTCGTGCGTGGGGCGGCCTCTCGGCACCTCATGCCCTGCGACCCCGACGGGACCGTCCTCACCACCCCGCTTGCAGACGGGCACAGAGAGGGTGTGACACTGCCCAGCACGCACACCCCGCCTCCAAGCGAGGGTGACACAGGCCACACAGCCCTGTGCCCTTGGGGGGCAGAGGTGCAGGGGGGCCGGAGCCACGTGGCCCCCGGCCGGCAGCAGAGAGCGCCCCGTGGCCGGAGGGGTCCAGCAGAGCCCAGGCTGCCACCCGATCGGGTGCTGCTGCGGGTGCGAGTCCTCCCTTCCCTGTGCCCCCGGGGGTGGGGACCCGGCCCTACCTGCTCCTCCAGCACCTTTATTTGCCGCTGATGGGGCTGCTCGGGGGACTCCGGGGCCTGCAGGGCCTGCAGCCGAGCCGCACACGGACGCTCTGCCTCCCCAGCCGGGTCCTGCTGGTGCTGGGCAGACGGCTCCCGCCCCGCCGTCTGGGCCTGGGCGAGAAGGTGCTGCTGTCTGCTCGCCCCAACGCACACAGCGCCGTGGGCGCCCCACCCCACCCTTGGGGCCGCTGTTCCCCCCGTTGGCTCCACTGCCCACGGCTGGGTGCCGGCGCCGGCCCAGGACTGGCCGGAACACCTGGCGTTCAGTGCACGCAGTCAGCCCACAGGCCTGGGGTTCGAGCCGCCTGCTCAGGGCTTCCACCCAGCTAGAGCCAAGCCAGAGCCTCCAGGGCGGGCCTGAGGCCTGTCCCAGCAGCATCCTGCTTCCCTGTGACCAAGCGGGGCTTGATTCCTGCCCCTCCTGCCCCCGCAGGTTCCCTGTCTGGGGACGACGGGGTGTGCCCGGCCGTGCAAGGGGAGACCAAACCCTCGGAGGCCCCTTCCGTGGGTGTCAGGCCCTGGGCCTTGGGTGAGCCCTTCACAAGGGCCCTCGATGATCCCACCACTCCCACGGGGACTTCAGCATCTCAGGAAAGGCCAGAGCCCTGGAGAGAAACCAAGGGGGCCCGAGGAGCCCTGGGTCGGGGTTCCAGCTCTGCCTGGGTCCTCGATGTGGCCTGGGTAGAGCTCACTGCGGTCTGTGCTTTTTCCTTCCAGCTGCCATTCCCGTGTGTGTGTGTACACGCATGTGCACACATGCCTGAGACAAGGCACACTGGCCCACCCCTGCGGGACCCACACCACCCACGTCCACCCAAAGGCTGGGTGCACAGAGCTCCACGGGCCTGGCTGACCTGCAGCTGCTGGCTCTGCCCCAGGGCCTGTCCACCCCCTGGAGGAGGCTGTGCAGGGCTGGTCCAGCTGCTCCTTCTCAGCCCCCACCCTTGCCATGCGCCCCTCCCTGCTCAGCATCTCCTACTCTGTCTGCAGAGAGCCTGGGGGCAGCACTTGTGGCCTCCTGGTGGGGGTGTGAGGTAAGGCCAGCCTTCCCTCTGGGGCATGTGGGGTGCCTCTCTCTGGGCAAGGCTCTGATCCCCCTGAGAGCTGAGGAGGTCAGGAAGGGCAGTGCCCTTTGCCACCTGGCACCTGCAGCCAGAGTGGGGAGGAGGAGCGTGGGGCCAAGTCCCCATCCTGCCACAGGCCAGCAGAGGTCCCCAGCGACAGTCTCCGTGGGGAACTCTGTATCTCCTGGTGGGGCCCCAGGGCCTGCCCCAGTCCTCAGGGCTCTTCCAGGCTGCATGAGCCCGATCCCCTGTGCCCCCTGGTGGCTGCCTTCTGCAGCTGCACTTGAAATCTGCTGAGCTCGTACAGGCACCAGCCCTGTGAGCAGGACACTCTCCCAGACTCAGCCCCAAAGCCAGTGGCATTGCCATTGTTGTCCCCACTCTGTGTCCTCCCCATAGGCTGCGAGCGGCCCCAGTGGAGCCCCCTTCTTAGTCACATCCTCAATCCTGATGAGCACAAGGCAGGGGGAACATGCTGCAGGTCAAATGTCAGGGAAGGCTACCCAGGTAACAAACATTTTCTATGAGACGGTGGGTGGGGCTCCTCCTGTCCCCTTGTGGATGGTTCCTCTGGAGGAAAGAATTAAATTAAGAATTTCCCCCCAGAAAGCAGCATTAGAGGAAGAACGGCACCCAGCAGCCCAGAGAGCCTGCTTCTGGCGACCTCAGGGCATGTCTCATGGGTCTGATCCCCTGAGCCCCCAGGCGTGCTGGGGCTGGGCAGGCACTAGGGTGGGATTGGAATCCAGGCCCTGCTCTCCAAACCAGGCTGCTGCGCCCAGCCCTGCGGGTCCTGTCTGCTGGGGCCATGTCCACAGGAGCAGTGGCCTTGGGCTGGAGTCCCAGGTCAGTCTTCACTCTAGTGCCAGCAAAGCTTCCTCCTGGCCTCAGGGCTGGAGCTGGCCTGGCTGCTCAGGGGCCCTGAGATATGGCAGATCATTTGCACGGGTAAAGTTATGGGGTTAGTGGTCAGAGCTTCACAAAAATAAGGATTTCTTTCTTCTTCAGCACTGAGAAAAACAGAGAGTCCCCTTCCACTGAAAAAGGAAGTCCTGTTTCTTTAAAAATCCAGCTACACTCCTGGAAGTGCACATTATAAAGAGAAGTGAAAAGTGAAATCCAAAATAAATAAACGGCCACATCCGGGTTCCCCTCCCGAGACACCAATAAAGGGTTTACGGGCTTGTGGGCCCCTTGCAGCTGACCTCCTGGAACTCATTAGCTGTTCCTTCCCTCCCCCACCCGGCCTCCAGGGACCCGCAGCGGGCGCCGTGCCCACGCCAGCTCCACTGCCCCAGCAGTGCCATCGCAGCTCGGCTGTCACACCCACCCTGCTCCCAGCACCCCAACAGCGTCCACAGGGGGCTGAGAACCCCCAGCTCCATAGCTCAGGCAGGGCCTGGAGACTAGCTGCTCCTGCTGCCACCCTCCTTTGTGAGGGCAGGTGGCCCTCGTGGACAGCTGGCCAGCAGCTCTCATGACCGTTCTGGCCTCCCTCCCTCAGAGGGCTGGGCCGCGGAGCCTTGTGCAGGCAGCAGGGCCTCAGGAAGGGCTGCCCTGCTCTGGATCCAGGCCCAAGGACGTGGGCCCTTCCCGTCCCTCCCCGCCCCATTGGCTTCCGGAACAAGCTTCCCAAAGAGAACAAGCTCCAGGACCCCCGGGGTGCTGACAGGAGTGGGAGGCCTGTGCATGAGTTGTCCACCCCCGCGTGGCGCTGGCTGGACACCTGGCTTGGCTTTCCGGGCCAACCCCTCCGGCTGGGTGACCCAACACTCTCCTGTGGCCCCTGCTGACCCCGGCAGCCTTGCGTGGCAAGACAGAAGCTGGGAGGGGGTGGGTTTGGGGCTCTGGGGCCACGGGGGCCATGAGGAGCCTGGACAGTGGGCGGCAGGACCCAGGAAGGCAGAGCTGGGGGAATCTGGTCCAAGGGGATCCTGACTGGGGCCCCCACCTTGCACCTTGCACCCGCAGCATGGGCCTCTCCCGCCCACACACTGTCACCTCTCGGTCCCATGTTCTAGAGAGATCAGTGGCCGGCCCTGCCAGCCCTGCACGGCCATCATTTCCCTGCCTGTCACCACGACACCACTGAGCAGCCGGTGGGAGGATGGACAGAAAGCAGATGGGCGCACGGCCACCTGGGGCTGGGACCCCCGCTGCCACCCGGGGGTGCCGGCCTGCACCCGCCCCTTGCTGTGGGGGGGAGGCCCGGGTGTGAGCACTGGGGTGGGGTGTGTGCGGAGGACGGCGGCAGGTGCCTGGGGCTGGGGACGTTCTGCCTGGTTCCCAGCATTGCCATTTGCTCCAAGGAGGAAACTCCAAGGCCTCAGTTTCCCCACCAGTCAACCTGGCGACTCCCACTGCTGATTTAACCCAAAGGGCTCTGCTCCATCTGGCTTCATATGTGGGGACGGGGTCCCCTCACACCTGGGGGCAGAGTTCAGCCACCAGCAGGACCCAGGACAGGCCGCCCGGTGCTCTCTGCACCCCCTGGCCGTCCCGCCATCCTGCCCGGCCCGGCCGTCACTGTCTGTATCTGTCCCCTGGGCTGGGGACGCAGTCTCGCACCCAGCCTGCACTGGGAGGTCAGTGGGGACGACAGGCCTGGGTGACGACCGTCACCTGGACTTCACCCCTCGACCACGTGGGCTTCCCCTGGTCTCTCGTGGGGGCCAACCTGGCCCGCCGGACCCTGCCCGTCCCCCAGGAGCTTGGGGGGGGCCGCGGCGCGAGCTGTGCGGGCCCCACCCTCTCTGCCCGTTGTCCCCGCGGGTCTCTGCGGCAGGAGCAGCTGCCGCCACGGACATGAGCGTCTCGTGGAGCGTGTTGTCCCAGGACACGGCGGGGATTTGCTACGGCCTGCGGTGCCACCCCGGACATCACGGTGACAACCCCGAGGGCCGTGGCCATCCACAGGGATCCCCCACTTTGGGGCTGGCCCCGCGCGGGCCGGTCTGCTAGGTGCCCCCACAAACGCCTGCCTGGCCAGGCGCCGTCCTTGCACCCCTCCCGCTGCCCGCCACCCGCAGCCCTACCTGCGCAAGCCCAGCGCACAGCCCCGAGAGCCCCCCTGCAGACGGGCCGGTCTGCGCGCAGGGCTGTTGTCTGCTCCCGCAGGGTGCTCTCTGCCGCCTCCTGCTCGCCGTGTGGCCCGCGCACCTGCCCAGAGGAGCTGCCGTGGGCCGGGAGTGGGAGGGCCCAGCGTTCTGTCGGAGGCTGGTTCTGGGCCCGGCTTATTCTTTCCCCTGATCTGCAGGTCCACGGCGGACCCTCTGGGGTAGGTGTGCCGTGGGGTGAGGACCCCAGCCCTCCGCTCCCCGTGGGCCTCTGGCCTCCGCTTTCTCATCTGGGGGTGGGGCTCAGGTGGCATCTGGGCCTACCCAGGTGTGCACACCTGCCTGCCGCGTCTCCCTGCATCTCCCTGCACACAAGGGACCGACTAGGCAAAGGAATGTGGGGCCTCCTCCTGGTAAGCCATTCACCACCTCCTGGTGACAGCGTACCCAGCCCTCACCTGCTGCAGGGGCTCCAGCCCCGCGGCCTCCTGGCACCTGCAGTCTTCCAGCAGCCTCAGCTTTCTGGCCAGGCCCTGGCTGTGCCGCCTGCTCTGTTCGAGGGCCTGGTGCAGGGCGTCCAGCTGCACCTGGGGGAGACAGACGCAGGCCCACCTGGAAACCCTGGGGGGCTCCTGGGGACGGAGGCGCAGGGCACCTGCCCGGCTGTCCCGCAGGTCTGTGTCGCCGGGATGTGGACAGGCAGGAACAGGCCTGGCGCACAGCGGTGTGGGTGGATGAGGTGGTTTGTGTTGCTAAGGTAACCACGAGGGCCGAGGCCCCCCAGGAGCCCTGAGCCGGGGTCGGGAGGCCCGGCCAGCAGGGAGGCCAAGGCTCAGGCTCAGCAGCTCCTCTGCGGCAGCGAGAGTGGTCTCAGGACGCGCCCGTGCAGCCTGCCCTGCCTCTGCCCTCTGTGGCTCCACTGCCCGGGACGAAGGCCACCGCGGTCCTCCTCCCCGAGGTGCTCGGAGCCTGCTTAGCTCGGGCCTGCTGCCCCTGCTCCCAGCAGCACCCAGGGGACCCTGGCGCTCAGGCACAGCTGGCCCCGGACTGCGTGGGGAGTCCTGGGGCCCGGGAGGGGGAATGGCCCTGCCCCCCCCCCACTGCCCCCTGTGCTCGGCTCGGCCCTCAATGTCCTCATGGCCCAGATGGTGGCCCGAGGGCACGTGCCACCCCTGCGGTCCCCACCCACTGCCCTGCCCTCGCCACCTCGCCAACCTTCGTCCCTGGCTGCTCCTGCTCCCACGCCAGGCTGCGCGGCACCGACCCTCACACACCACCCCCCACGCCCCGGCTGCCACGGGGATGCGGCCCCCTCCCCCGCTCGCCCAGGTCCTGCCCCCATCCCCCCCTGCCCTGAGCCCACTGGAGGGAGGACTGTGCCGGTGGCATCTGCTGAGCCCTGGAGCCAGTGTGCTGTTGGGCCTGGAGAAGGTTCCAGAAGGCACAAAGGAGTCCTGTGGCTGGGACTTGCTGGCGAGTGCCCGGCCTGTGACCCCTCTCAGGGGCTTTGCAGGAGGAGCAGCCGGCCCTTCTGGGGACGGTGGGCTGGTGCAGAGGGCGGCTGAACGGGAGGGCGGACGGGGGCCACGGGCCACGGTGGCGCCACACGCAAGCCCGAGGCAGCTGGGACTCCAGGGGGACAGACGGGGCAGAACGGGGCGTGCGATTTGGAACAGACCGGAGGGGCCACGCGGTTGGGGAGCAGGAGGTGCCCCGAGAGCCCCCAGGCTTGGGTGCTGGGCGGGGGGCAGACGTCGGGCTCCCGCCTCAGTTTCCCCATCTGTGGCATGAGTGTGATGCGCTCTGACAGCATCCTCGTCAGGCCCGGGGTAAGGACAGGAGGGTGGCTGTCGGGGGTGTGGACTCCACCATGTCCCCGTCCCAGGGGTTTTGTAAGAGAGGGTCTTGCAAGGAAATATGCGAGCACCGGCAGACGGCCGAGGTCTCCTCGAACACCCCGTGTCCCTCGCCAGGAAGCTCGGAGCCGAGACACCCCAAACCCATCCTTCCGGCCCCCGGAGTTCAGGTCCTCAGCCTGGCACCTTTTTCCCCACTGGGTGACAGTGGGCACATTCAAACGGCCACTCGCAGGGACCCCCTGGGCTCCCGGCCTGGTCCTGCCCTCAGGCCAGTCCTGGAACGGAACCAGCCCCGCAGGGTCCTCTCGCAGCGGGGGCCGAAGCCATCCCCCCACGTGGGAGTCGGGGTCTGGGCCGGCGGGACCACCCCGCGCTCCGTCCCGTTACGCCGTCTCCTCTGCCCCGTGCCAGCCCCCCCTGCCTCGGCCAGACCAGTTTACAGCCGGCCTCACGATCGCTTTCACAATTTTCCTGGAAAATCTCAGCCGTCTATTCTTCCCTGTAAACCGTGCAATTAGCTTGTCCGGTTTCCCCCAAACACACCACAAACAAATAGACAAAACCAGACCTGAAACAGCAAACCGCCCACGAACAGCTGACAAGCCGGGAACACGATCATGGAGAGAGAAAAAAAAACCGTGGTCACCGCCTACAGCCACAGCCCCGCCCGGAGGAGGCGCAGCACGCGGCCACGCTTTTGAATAACCTTCGAATCAAAGAAAAAAATAAAAATGTAAACTCCCCCAAAAAATTGGTTAAAAGGGAAAAAATTCACATCAAACACCTATGGGACACAGTTAAGGAGAGAGCAGGGACGTTAAATGCTGCTGACACTGAGAAAGCCCACTCGTGGCCAAGCCACCGCGCCACGCAAGGAATCAGAGACTTCACAGCAGGAAAGACAACGAGGAGGGGACGTCCGCACGGATAAAGCCGGAAATCAATGAACCAGACAGGAGTGAGGGGACGGTACCAGTCGACCCTTGGGGAAGACCAAGACGCGGCCGTGAACAGGTGCAGGTGTTGGCGCGGGGAACAAGGAGGGACGGGACCGCGCAGTGTGGACGCACGATGGCCACAACATCACGTGGACGTCCGCGCAGGCCCTGGCCGCCATCAGATGGACGCCCTGCCCCAGATGCCGGAAACCGACCCAGGAGAGGTGGAGACGGAACGGCCGCCCACAGAAAGGGGTCGGAGAGGGAATCGGTCATTCCCAACACCGGGAGCCGCAGAACGTTTGCAGGAAGTTCGGGGGTTTTTTTGTTGTTTTTTTTGAGACAGAGTCTCGCTCTGTTGCCCAGGCTAGAGTGAGTGCCGTGGCGTCAGCCTAGCTCACAGCAACCTCAGACTCCTGGGCTCAAGCGATCCTCCTGCCTCAGCCTCCTGAGTAGCTGGGACTACAGGCATGCACCACCACGCCTGGCTGATTTTTTCTATATATTTTTAGTTGTCCAGTTAATTTCTTTCTATATATATTAGTTGGCCAATTAATTTCTTTCTATTTTTAGTAGAGACGGGGGTCTCGCTCTTGCTCAGGCTGGTTTCGAACTCCTGACCTTGAGCCATCCTCCCGCCTCAGCCTCCCAGAGTGCTAGTTTTACAGGTGTGAGCCACCGCGCCCGGCCCCATTCACTTTTTAGGAAACTTAATGCCTGTGCTAGTTTGACCGTTCCGGGTAGTGGGAACAGACGGACAGCCACCAATTCACTTCGTAAAATAAAACGGCCTGAACATGAAGACGTCTGAACACTGCGGCAGACGAAGGCATCACAGACGCAGACATTTCTGGCAAAGTGGGAGTGACCGGCTCTAGCTGAGGTTCCGCTCCATGGCGTGGGCCCCTCGACCCCTGGGTGGCCCCACGACCCCTGGGCGGCCCCGAGACCCCTGGGCGGCCCCGTGGACGCCCGGATGTGGCTCCTACAGCCCGAGCCCTGGAGGGGAGGGCGGGCGCGGCTGACACCGAGGTGTGAGTGGCCGGTGGGGGGACCCGGCTCGCTGGGCGCAGGGAGGGGGCCCCGGCCTGGGCCAGAGTCCAAGGACGCCGCGAGCCCCTCTGAGCCACTGAGGCTGGCCCGGGCACCACTGCGAGGACGGCATCGGGCGAGGAGGGTGCCAGGCCCCCCGCCCGCCGGGCCCCCTGCTGCGCATTGGCCGGAGGCTCAGGTCTGCATTGTTGTTCTACCGAATTCCCAGGGTAGCCCTGGAAACGGGAAGGGATTTGCTCTCAAACAAGAATCTCACTGTTTGCATAGCACGGCCTACCATTTAATTAGAGAAATGTGTTTTTAATTAACTTTCCCTTAACAAACACGTTGGCTTATGTGAAACGGGAGGGGGAAAAAAAACACCAATGCGTGAAAGTGAAAGGAGCCATCGTGTCCGATGAGAGCTCGGGCGGGAACACGCTGGCGGTTTGGCAGGGCCGGGAGGGGCGCCAGGCCTGCCTGCTGGGTCCCCTCGACCTGGCCCGGTGCAGGGAGGGGCGGTGAGAGGGGCAGCCACGCGCAGCCCCCTTGCCTGCGGGAGGCACCTTGGTCCTGAGCTCCCTGCAGGCTTTGCCGTTTGTCAAAAGCGGGGGGTGGGGGGGCCTCCAGCCAGCTGGTGACTTTGGTGTGTCTGAATCCCTCCCCAGACCCCCGCCACGATGACCGGGAGACCTCAGAAATCAGGAACAACTTTCAGAGCTAGAGAAACCCTGAGGGTTCCCGAGGGCAGATGGAGCCAGCCTGGCCTAAAAAGAGGAGCAACAATGATTGCCAGAATCACCATAAAAAATGGACGTGACACCGGTAGATCTTAGCAGACTTCAATGAAAACACCGAGCAGGTTCTAGGGCAAGCGCGAGAACTAACCGGCCTGGAGCAGGTCGAGCGGCGCCCGGGGGGCTCGGCGCTGTGTGCGGAGACCCCAAGTGGAGCCCAGCACCCCGACACCACGGCAGGCACGGAGGGGCGAGGGCGGGGGAGGCCGCGGGGTGGGGTGGGTGGATCAGCTCTTGCCCACCAGGGCCTCTTGGGGGATGCGGGCCGCGGTCGTGAGGGACCTGGCAGGCGGGTGGCCGGGGGACACAGGGCACGACCAGGACGGGGCCACCGCAGGACGCGTGGGTCCTGCCCTCCCTGCCGGCTCAGGAAAGGGCAGTCCTGGCTCCCATGCCGGCCCCCACGCTCCCCAGGGACGCCCGGGCTGCAGGGTCCCAGAACCTTCTCTCCGCCTTTGCCCTGCGCCGGAAGCAGCCGGACACGGGGTGCGTGAGGCCCCGGCGCCGCCTCCCACCCCCAACTCCTACCCGGCGAGAGGGAGCTCCTTTCTTTAGAGACGTGAGCGGAAAGTCACGGACGAGTAGCAATGCGCTGAGGTTCCAGAGAACCTTCCGGCAGCCCGGCCTCTGCTCTCTGCTGCTCCCCTCTCCCCTCTCCCCTGCGGGAGGCCCCTCCCCAGGGGCTGCGGGCCTTGGATGCTGGCCTGGGTCTGACTGCCCTTTGGTGGCCTCCGTGGCCGCCAGGCTCCCAGGCCTGGTCTCTGCGTGTGCACCCCGAGCCTTGGGGCGGGAGACCTGCAGTCTGAGTCGCCCCCGTGCAGCCCGGCCCAGTCCCTTCTCCCAGCACATCCCTGGGAGTCTGAGGTCCCGGCCATCGGGGCGGCCACCCAGGCCCCACCATCCCCTAGGCTTCCAAGGTCTGCAGGGAGCTCCAGAGTGACCCAGCTGGGCCGGGCCCGGGGCGGGCACAGGGCTTCCCGCCGGCCGGCCGTGAGGAGGGCGGCCCGGCCCAGCGCCCATCCTCCCAGGCCTGGCCGCTCCTCACCTGAGAGCCACAGACGCAGCCGCCACCGCCCCCTCACGGCCCCGGCACGCGGCGCATTTACCCGAGTGCGCCCTGCCCAACCCCCTCCTGTGTCCGAGAGCCGTGGCCTGGAGACAGTCCTGGAGCAGCAGAATGTGACCCACAAAGAGCCCTGAGTCAGGCCAGGGCCACCGCTGTGCCTGCCGCTGTGGCTTCCAAAAGAAGGAAGGGTTGGGAGGCCAGGGCTGTGGCCTCATCTGCTGTGTCACCAGGGTCGAGGCCTCAGTTTCCCCAGTCTGTAAGGGAAGGGCTGGGACCACTGTAATGACAGCTGCACCAGCATGGCCCCAGGGCCCTGTGCCCACACTCGGATGACCTCGAGGCCACCGTCCCCGGGGACCTGCCCGGCTCCCCACTGCCCTGCGCCCATGGTCCCCCCCCGCCCCACCCCCGCTCTGCAGCCTCCTCCCAGGCTGTGAGGGTGACCCAGGCCTGTCCCCACGTCCCCGCGCCCAGGTCCCCCCCCACCCCTGCTCTGCGGCCTCCTCCCCAGGTGTGCAGGGAGACTCAGGCCTGTCCTCATGTCCCCCGCCCCAGGTCCCTCCACCCCTGCCTGCGCCTCCTCCCCAGGCTGGAGGGTGACCGACCAGGCCCTGTCCCCACGTCCCCTGCCGCCCAGGTCCCCAACCCCGCCGCATCCCTGCACCTGGAGCCGCCGCTTCTCTTGGCCGGCTGCCGCGCACTGCCGCCAGGATGCTCCGGCCATGCAGCCTGCCGAGCGCCTCCCGCTGCAGGCCGCGAACGCCTGGTGCTGCTTCAGCGCGCTCGTCTGCCCGGCGGCCGGCGCTGTGGCAGGCCAGGTGCCTCAGGGCCCCCACGGCCCCCACCATCCACAGGTTGGCTGGGCTTGGGCGACCACAGCGCCGTGACGGCTGGGCAGGGGAGAAGGCTCCTCAGGGTCCTGGTGCCCGCCTAGGGTCCCGCTCCCCTGACCGCGGCCCGTCTGCTCCGGCCTTCTCTCCCTCCCAAAAAAACACGCCCTGCGCCCGCCCTCCTGCGCAGACCTGGGCACAAGGGTGGAGGGCAGCAAGGGCCAAGGGCCTACCTGACAAGAGGCCGGGCTTGGCCTGGGAGGCGGGCCAGGCAGGCAACAGCAGGGGGGCTGCGGCCGAGCGGGAGGGGCACGGGGTCGTTGGGTGGTGGTGGTCCCTGTCGAAGGGGGCGTCCCTGCCCAGGAAGAGAGCGCGTGCTGGCACAGAGTTGCGTAACACAGCGGCCATCTCGAGCGGCCACCCACATGCTCACGGTGGTCAGTGGCCGGGAACATGTCGGGGGACGGAGTCTGGGGGAGGGGGGTTCACCTTCCTCACGGGCTGGGCCAGGGCCGTCTGCAGCTGCCCCACGTGGCCCTGGGCCTGGGCACGCTGACGCTCAGCCTCGCTCAGCCGGCTGCTCAGGCTGGCTGCCTGGACACGGTAGTCGTTCTGGGTAGGAGGGCGGAGGTCAGAGGGCAGCTGGGAAGGGGGGGCAAGCAGAGGGCCGGGGAGAGCTTGTGGTCTAGCCTGGGGTCACAGGGCGGGTGGCCGTGGGCTGCAGGGGCCGGGTCGAGCTGGGCGGCTGAGCTGACCCACAGGCCTGGGGAGGGCAGGCGGCTACACGGGGTCCAGGTGTCCGGTACAGTGTGGGGGGCTGGCGGGTGTGGCCCATTGCCTGGGGGTCGGGGGGCCCAGCAGGGCCAGGACCTGGGGCTGCACAGGGTCCAAAGGAAACAGGTGTCCACGGAGGACCCGTGGCCAGGACTCTGTGGCCGATTGTCTTTCACACAGCCCCCCCACACACTTGAGTCCTGTGCCCACCCTGTCACCTGGAGGGTTGGGAGGGGACAGCCCGCAGGTCGCTCTGGGGGAGCCCTGGGGCCAGGAGCATAGGTAAGTGGCCGCTGGGGACCTGGCCCCCAGGTGAGGGGTCACTGGGCACATGCTGAGGGTGGCCTGGCGGGTCTGTCCTGCAGTGTCCCCGCCCCTGGGGACAGTTCTTCAGGGAACAGCATGGGATGGAGAACGCCCTGTCCCGGCCACATGGCCGTCCCGGTGGGCCTGGCTCCAGGCCTTTGCAGCTGGCCTGACGGAGGGGCGGTGCCCGGCCACTGGCCACAGTCGGGTTTCAAGGGACGGTGGCATTACTGGATTCATTGTGACAAACAGGGACTGTCTGGACACAGCCCCATAGGCCCCACCAGGGCCTCTGCAGACCAGGGACAGAGGGACAGGCCCACCAGTCTGGGGGACGGGATGCGTCCCTCCCCGTCCCCCCGACACCCCAGGGCACGTGCTGGGTGGGGGGTGACCCAGGCGCCTCTTACCCGGCCCCGCTGGGCGTCCCAAAGCTTCTGCACGAGGTCCCCCAGAGCGTCACGCACAGAGGCCACGTCCACCACCACCGCTCCGTGGTCTCTGCGTGGGGGCCAGTGGGGGCTGGCGGGGGGGCTGGCGCCCTGCGGCCCAGGCCGAGCCGGGGGGCCATCGGAGCCTGCGGGAGGGGTCGTGGGCGGGAATCAGGGGCAGGTGGGCGCCCTTCCCCCGTCCCTCTGCCTCCCCTGCCCACGGGACCTGCAGGGTGTGGCACAGGCTCCCCAAATTGCCTGGCGCGGCCCAGCCCCCCACTGTGTGGGTCGTGAGGCCCCAGAGGGCTTGGGGTGCGCCAGGCCGGGGACGCAGCTGGGACAGGAGCCCGCCTGCCACCACGGAGGATGCTGACCTTTGGCCGGGGAGCCTGGCCGCTGGGGGGAGGCCGAGGGGCTCTGTCCCCCGAGCGCCAGGCCGCGGCGCAGCGTGGAGCACAGCCGGCCCAGCTGGGCCTCCGCGTCCCGCCTGCCGCCCTCGGCC